ATATATATGGGGTTTTTTTAGTCTTGGGGCTTTTGTTTTGTTTTGGTTTTTTGAGACAGGGTCTTCCTACAGCCCCAGTTGGCCTGGAACTCACTTTATAGACCAGTTTGGCCTCTGTCTCACAGAGATCTGCCTGCCTATGCCTCTGCCTCCCAAATGCTAGGACTAAAGGCATATGCCACCATGCCTTGCTTTGAAATGTAAATCATTGAGTCTCGTCACAGACCTGTTGAGGCAGATACCCTGAGACAGTGACCAGAAATCAGAGTTTAACAGGGAATTCCAATGCACACTAGTGAAACTCTAGGACAGCCCAGTGAAAAGGCTTCAGAAGTCAGGAGCCCACCAGATGCAGCTAGGGAGGACAGGACCTGACCAGGGAGTTGGCGGGATTCGTTGAGATGACTCCCCTTCGTCATGGGCCGAGGGCAGTGTGGAGGTGAAAGGGGATCAGAAAGCAAGGCAAGGTGCACATGCCTCTATTCCAGCTACTCGGGAGGCTGAAGCTGAGGGTCACAGATTGAAGCACAGTCTGAGCAACATAACAAAACCCTGTCCCCTACTTCCTGGGGTGTGTCGGGGGTTCTCAGAAAGCGTGAAGCACTGAGAAGTCGGGACAGGCTGTTGAGGGCTCTGAAAGTAAACTTCTTTGGGTGCAGGCAGAGCCAGGGTGAAAGTGGTGCTTTACTACATCACTGTCAACCCGACAAGAAACCCTGCACAGGCCTGAAAGCCAGGCCCAGCATCTTGTGGAGGAAGAAGCACTCTGAAGCATCCTCTCAGGCTTCTAGCCAAGGTCATTGCTAACACTTAAGACTGTGCATTGTGTACTGAAGGGATGCAGCGTGGATGCAGCTAAGCATTAAGGAACTCAAATTCATTCCTGACCCCTTTGAAAGACTTGGCATGTTGAGAACATTGGCCTTCTGGAAGAAGCCCAGGCTGACTGTGATATTTTTCCTCTTCTAGATGGCAGACTGTGGAGGACTGCCCCAAGTCGTTCAGGTAAGAAAGCTCCTGCTTTAATGCTCCTTCTTAACTCTCTCTCTCTCTCTCTCTCTCTCTCTCTCTCTCTCTCTCTCTCTCTCTCTCCTCCCCCTGCCCCCATCTGCTACCTCTCTACTTCTGCAAAGAATAACACCTTCTTGTTTTGTCCCCCAGCCTGGGAAGCTCACCGAGGCCTTCAAGTACTTTTTGCAGGGAATGGGCTACAGTGAGTAGTATATACTTTCTATTTTTTCTATTTAGCTAAGATTTATGGGTAATGATATCAGTTTAGCATCTGAGAGGCCACAATTATCAAGATATAATCTGTCTGCTAGTGAACCTTGAAGTAGAAAACAGTAGGTTGTGGAGAACTCATCCGTCTATGTTATATTTAAGTTAAGCTGACACTCACTAGGAATTTAACTTTTGTTAGCTAATATATGTTCTCAACCCTAGAGGTAATTATTTTTTAGTCCCATTTTATAGAAGGTCAAACGGAGGCTCAAGAATGTTCAGCATGTGTTCCAGTACAACAATGCAGCAACATAGCCATGATTGAAATCTTTACAGTCTGACCTCCAAGCCCACATTTTAACCACTAAACTTCCACTGCCCCAGCCATGATTCAAAGGTTATGATTTACATCTGAACTCAGTAGGTTACTAACTCCTGGCCTACAGAAACAAAGTGGAGACTCCAGAAGAAAAGAACAGTATTCTTAGTGAAGTCCGTTCTGTTGCAGGAGATGAGCTGGCAGTGTTTTAGAGCACATGTCCTCATATGCTGCTGTATTGGTCTCTTGTATCTGAGATCCCTGAGCTTCCTCATTTGTCACAGAAAACCCACACTTGTGCCTCTCTTGGCACCAAAACAAAAAACAAAAAAAAAACCTTTACCCGGGCATAGAATTCTTTACCCAGCAGGGCAATTTTTCCATCTCTGTGATCAGTTAGATGATGGACATTGGTGAGCTGCCTGGACAGCTAGGCCCTGGGTTCAGACCTGTGCCTGCCAGGCAGACCATGTGTGTCTTGTCTAGAGTGGCTGCGTTGTCCTTGTCTGTGAGCCTCTACCAACCGAGCCCACATCCATAGCCCTCTGGCTCACTGAGAATAAGTTCCCTCCTAGCCTGTTCTCATCCTTTTCCCAGAAAACAACTGATCCTGCTGCCCTATTGATCCAGGGAAGGGCAGCTGGATAGAATGAGGGCAAAATAGCTGCCTTTGTCTATTGAGAGAGGTGACAGTAAAGATGGGACTTAAGCAAAAGTTCTCTTCTCTGAGACCTTGAAAAACTTTCATCCCTGGCTGAGAGTATCCTGTCAGCATCAGCTAGGTAGCCAAGGTTGCCACTTGGCCCTCTTGGGTCACTAACTTGCCTTTTCCTGTGTCCATCCTGCTTCCAGTCCCGTATGTGCATCTCAGTCACCTCAACAGCGAGTCAGGTACCTTCCTGTACTGGCCCTGCCCGCCTCCCAACCATGCTCTACCTGCTGCATTGGCTGCCTGCAGCATGTCCGCAGTTTCCCTGTACAGTGAGAGCCCGATAGAACAGGGATCCTTGTGTTCCAAGAGCTTGCCCTGAGGATCAGGCTGGTCCCAGGAGGAGGAGAGGATTCTTTTGGACTGCCCAGGCCTTCTTTCCTCATCCTCAGCCAGGGTCATAACAACAGCTGAAACTCAATAGTCAGGGTCCCTCTCCACCACCACCACCTACTAATCCTTAGATGAGTCCTAGACACAGAAATAAAAAAAGCCCTGCAGACTTGACTCTAGGTGGACATGTCAGCCATTATGCCCAAAGACCAACCACAGATAATGGCATCTTTTGACCCCAGTTTTGAAATGATAGATGGGACAGTGACTAGTCGGTGACCCACCTTAACAGGCAGGGAATTAGGTAAGGCTCTATCTAGGCAGACTAAAAGGAGCTTAGAGTCAAAGCAGTAGCAGTGGCAGAAAAGAAATCTGAATAAAACAGTTCCAAGTCAGCCCCCTCTTTTACTCCAATAACATGTGCCTCCTCCTGTATAAAGATCAGCTCCAGGGTACCTGCCTTCCCCTCTACCCATCACTTCTCCAGGTCTCTCTCCCAGAGGGCAACAATAACCTGTGGACACGGATGGTAGTCTTGTTGTATCGGGCTTGCACTTTGTTTGTGAAACACCTTCCTACTTGTGTGGTTTGTTCTTTTCTTTTGGTTTAGTCTTGCATGCACTGCAGGTTTTGATGACCAATATGAGTTCCCAAAGCCACCTTCCTAATCACTGTATGAATGGCCTGGGCACAGCTAAGAAGCTTTACTCTCTCCTTAGGGTTTCCCAGCCTGCTCTGGAGTAGAATCTGGAGCGAATCCAGACACAGAAGATCAAAGCAGCCTTACATACATTCACTCACCTAGAGCAAATAGTTCAACCTGGTTATCACCTTAGGTGGGATGGGAAAGGGCAAGTCTTTGGTGAACCTTGTAGGTTAGCTGAGTCTCACCAGGCTCCTCCTTCTAGCCTCTTTGTTCTTTGTTACAGTACCATCTGCCAGCATGACCCGGCTCGCCCGATCACGAACCCACTCGACCTCAAGTAGCATCGGCTCTGGAGAAAGTCCCTTTAGCAGGTCTGTGACCAGCAATCAGTCAGATGGAACTCAAGAATCCTGTGAGTCCCCTGATGTCCTGGACAGACACCAGACCATGGAGGTCTCCTGTTAAGCAGATGTTCCTCCCTGGACCATGCAAGTCCCTCCACTCCATAATAGAACATTTCACCCTGTCAGCTGGCCTCCACTTTCTTTCACTCATGCATGGCCACAGAACCTCTCTCTAATAACCTGGATTTATCATTCTCTGCCCGCACCCCTTTTTGTATGTACCAAGAACTACACCCATGCCATTACTGTAACATTCCAACATACTGAGCTGATCCGGTCTCCACATCTTCTCTTGCCAGCTTTTCCCTGTGCTTCCTCAACTATGTATCCGATAAGATTCTTTGATTCCCAACTCCATGTGTGTGTGAGCACGTGTGTGTGTCTGTGTGTGCATAGTTCTGTGATTTTAGACATGCTTTCTTGTAGGGCTTCTGCACAAAAAACAAAGGGACTTTTTTTTTTTTGCATTCTTGGTGGTGTTTTTAAGGAAAAGATGCAGAGCAGATATCTAGGTGATTTAGGACACAAGATTGGTTTTGGTTCCATGTGGGCAACAAGATTTGCAGAGTGAATTTAGGAGAGAGCGGGTCTGAGGAAGTGGGACGTTGTAATTACTGGCCAGACCATTGATTATGACCAGTTCCATAGATAGGCAGGCAGGGTGGCAGCCGCCTTCTCTGTCCAAATGGATCCATATCTGCTATTGTGTAAGTAAAGGAGAGAATGCGGCCTGCTGGAAGCCCCTGAGTGATGAGGTCTGCTACACCATGGAGTTTTCTCCAAAGGAGAAGCCTAACTGTTAGATTCTCTTAGCCCAGGAAGATGGAAAACAAAACACCCAAGGTCCACTCTGCAGAGCAAAACTACTGTCCCTGCAGCATCTGATACCACTTACCAAACATGCCCATGTCTGTAGGAAGTGCCTCCCAGGTCTGTGATGGAGAGCGGTTCTCCATCCCTCAGTCCCAGTAAAGGGAGGAGTATGGTTTAAACATCATGTTGATGATGAGGAGCTGAGAAGGCAAAAGGGAGAACTGTTAACACAATGTCATGATGAGTAAGTGTAGCTACGTTTCAGCAGACATAATGAAGCCAAGTTACATTGATGTGGAACCCATTTCTGGGAAAGTCTTAATTGTGTGATGTCCCTTTTGTAAGAGGGAAGGAGACAATCTCAGAGCAGCTCCGTCCAGGTAGAAATATTTGGCCCCCTGCCTGCTGTAGGTAAGGGGTCACACCAGCCAGGGAGAGCCTCTGGGATGAGGTTGAAAGTACCTGGAGACTAGCCACCACACAGGGCTCCACTCTCAAAAGTACCGAGATGTGAACTCAGAGTCACATGGTTCTGAATCTGGGGAAGAGACTTTTCACACACTCTTTGCTTTCTGCTAAGATAAGGAATGTGTCACTCTGCTAGAGTATGACTTTTTACAGGTTAAATAAAGCTGTATATGTCTCACTGTTGCCTGGCTGCTGGTGTTATTTCTCTGAAACAACTCCCTAAGGCTCCAGGAGGGACTGGGTTCCATTTACTGGTTCCAGGCTGTGCATTTTCATGTATGCAATCACTTATCCCACTCAGTGACACTTAAAAGAAAGAAGAACTGACACTTTAGATCAATAACATTTCAAGGACTCACAGCCAATAAAGCCAGGCCAGCAGAATCCTGATCCCACCTGACAGGTCCTTGTTCCACTCAAATCGAAATTCACAAGAAACCTGACAGTGCTATTGATGAAGGGGAACTGAGGTCTGGGAAAGCTATTCCAGATCTTATGTTCCATCATCTGTGTGGAATTCCTTGGATCATGTAACAATTTGAAATTGCTTCCATGGGTTCCTGTAAGATACTAGTCTTTCTCCCAACACAGCTATGCTTACATCCTCCAAGAATATGTTCAGAAAGCCACTGTCTTGTACATAGAAGAAAGAATGGTCCCTTTGGAAATAGGCTTTATTTACATTCAGGAACAAGGGTTTCAGGAGATGGGCTGGTAGCTATGAGCAGTTTCTAAGCTTCCAAGGAAACAGTCTGTTCTCCCTACCTGACTGCCACCAGATTTACATTTTTCCCTCCAGCCTGTCATGCCCCTCCTGGTCCCTTCCGGGCTACCCACTTGCCGTGTAAACAGTTGGCTTTTCTCTGGGGGCCAACCTCTTAGGAGAAGACTCTGGATTATCCTCCACAGAAAGTCAGCTGCAGTGTTTACAGTTGTTCTCACAGGGTGAGTTTCAGTTTAAAAGGGGGAAGTGGAGCCAGGAGTGGTGGTGCATGCCTTTAATCCCAGCACTTGGGAGGCAAAGACAGGTAGATCTCTGAGTTCCAGTTTAGCCAGGATTACTTGGTCTCAAAAAAGGGGATGGTGGTGGACAGGCTCCAAAATAAAATAATAATCATGAAAGCCCAGAAGAGAGGGTAATGGTCCTAGCACTGCCCTGTCTACCTGCTGAGTGAGCATAAGGGTGTTGACCTATGGGCTTGTCATTGCATTGCAAATGGGATTCAACTGAAACAAAACAGCTTGGGCAGTGTGCAGTGTCGGCAGACTTGCCAGCATTCTTTCCACCCACTGACCTGGATTCCACACACCGTGCCTAGCACGTAGTAAGTTACTCAGGTGTGTGTGAAACGATTTGATGCTCTTCTGCAAATGTGACCAACAGCTGCTTGTCCTAGGCCTCTGTGCCACTGCCCAGGCCTCATCTTCCCCCAAGAGTTTCTTGGCCTTGAGCATACCAGAAAAGTGAAACTTGAAGAGTCCTGGAGAAAGCAGGTCCCCTGTGGCCCTGGGCCCTGAAGGCTGTGGCCTTGTTAGACAAGGACAAGGAAGTTAAGCCTTATCCCTGGTCCAAGCTCCTCCAGTTCTGTCAACCCTGTATTGACAGTATTGATTCTTCATTCACAGAAAATACTACAAGCTTTGCCTGTCAGAGTTAATCACCCATACTACTCCAGACAGGCATAAAGCCAAGTATTTAGCCTGTACCTCATACTCAAGGAACCAGGAAGGATGAAGATATCATGGCAGTGGCCAGCCGAAATGGAAGCTGGGGTGTAGAGAGAGGCTCGTCAGTAAAGTGTTGACCTTGCAAGCATGAGGACCTGAGTTCTAGCCCCAGAACCCATGTTAAAAAAAAAAAAAAACTAAGATGTTGATACACACTTGTAATCTCAGTGGTGAAGAGACAAAGGCTGGTGGATCCTTTGGGCCTGCTGGCCGACCAGCCTAACCTACATGGGGAGTTCTAGACAGCCTAAAGAATGGGACCCAAGGTTAACCTCTGGATTCTAGACAAGCACGCACATGCATGGGCACCCATGTACACACATATACACATAAATGTGTGCAAAAAGAATATTAGTTTCTTCTATTTGTTGATAATTTCATATGTGTATATTATGTGTTTTGATCAAGTCCACCCCCACTTCCTCTCCAATTTCTCCCCTACCTCAACTGTTTAATAATTTCCTATGTTCTCTCTCTCTTTTTTCTTTTTTTGTCTTTTTGAAGCAGGGTCTCCCTGTAGCCCCAGCCGTCCTAGAACTCACTATGTAGACCAGGCTGGCCTTGAACTTACAGAGATCTGCCTGCCTCTACCTCCCAAGTGCTGGGGCTACAGGCGTGCGCCAACCACGCCCGGCTTGTTCTCTCTCTTTTTAACCCACAGAGATCACAGTGCTTCCAGTATGTCCGTGGGTATAGGACCATCTACTGATGCATGAGTTCCCTCTCAGGGGGCCACAACCCTGAAGAAAATCAACTCCTTTCTCTGCCAGAAGCCATCAATTGCCGATAGCAATAGGGTTGGGATTTCCTGACCTCCTCCCTACTTCATAATAGGATTTTGTCTGGCTTGATCTTGTATAGGTCTTTGCATGCTGTCACAGCCGCTGAGCTCATGTGTGCACCTGCCCTGCTGTGTGCAGGAAACACTTTCACTGAGGAGATACTTGCTCATCTAAGTTCATTGCTGTTCTAGTCACACTAGCCAGGACCTGGAAATGGAAACAGCCTACATGTCCATCAACTAATGAATAATGAAAATGTGGGACATATCCACAATGGAATATTATTCAGCTGTTAAGAAAAAAACAAAATTGGCCAGGTGTGGTGGCAGATGCCTTTAATTCCACCACTTGGGAGGCAGAGGTAGGCAGATCCCTGTGAGTTCAAGGCCAGCCTGGTCTACATAGTGAGTTCTAGGCCAGCTGGGGCTACAGGGAGACCCTGTCTCAAAAAAAGATTTTAAAAAATTGTGAGCTGGGAGTGGTAGCACACACCCAGCATTCGGGAGGCAGAGGCAGGTGGACTTCTGAGAGATTGAGGCCAACCTGATCTACATAGCAAGTTCCAAGCCAGCTGGGGCTATAGGGAGACCCTGTCTCAGAAAGACAATTTAAAAAAAAAAAAAAAAGAAATTTTCAGGTAACTGAATGGAGCTGGAAATGATCATTCTGGTGAGGTAACCCAGACCCAGAAAGACAAATGTCACATGTTCTAACGTGAATGCTAGCTTTGAATCTTTGGAAATGTATGTTTAAGTTATAGTACCCATAGAAGTCAGGAAATCCAGTTAGGCACCAGCGCCTGGGATGGGAGCTTTTAGGAGAAAGGAGATAGTTATTTTTTTGTTGCAGTACAATACCTGACAATCAGCTTGGGGGGCTGGCAAGGTGGCTTAGCAGTGAAGAGAGCTTGCCATTCTTGCAGAGGACCTGGGTTCAGTTTGTACCACTCATGCCAGGTGGCTCACAACTGCCTGTGACTCCAGCTCCAGGGGATCACCACCCCCCACCCCGTTCTGTGGGCACCTGCACAAGTGGCATGTACATACACAAATAAAAGTAAACCTTCAAAACAAAATCAGAAATGAAGGGTTTCTTTTGACTTATAGTTGAAGGAGATTAAATATGGCAGGGAAGGTGTGGCAGGAAGATGTGGAGCCGCTGGTGACACTGCAGCCACAAGAAGCAGAAGGAAAGAATGCTGGTACCCAGCTCACTTTCCCCTTTTTATCTAGCCCAGGACCCTAGCCCGTGGAATGGTGCTGCCCACATTTAGGGTGGGTTTTCCCACCTGAATTAACCCAATTTAGAGACTCCTCACAGTCATACCCAGAGGTTTAGCTCCTAGATCCTGTCATGTTGACAGCATTAACCATCACAAGTCCCCTTGTAAACTTGACACCCAAACATTACTTTCAAGCCATTCCCTTCCACCCCTTCCTTGTTCCTCATAGCCTCCTGGCCATCACAAAATGTAAAATGAATTCAGTACAACTTCAAAAGTTCATTGTATTTACTTTTCTGTTACTGTGATAAAACACCATGACTAAAGGCAACTTATAGAAGTTTATTTTGGCTTACAGTGCCAGAGGAATGAGCCCATCATGGCAGGGAGGCATGGCAGCCAGGGGCAGGCATGGCAGCAGGAACAAAGCTGAGCGCTCACATCTTCCGTCACAAACGTGAAGAGAACGTGAACTGGGATTGAGCTGCGGCTGTGAACTCAGAGTCCACCCCTAGTCACACACCTCCTCCAGCAAGGCCACGCCTCCTAAGTCTCCCCCAAACACCACCACCAACTAGGGATCAAGTGCTCAAATACTTGAGCCTATGGGGGACATTTCCCATTCAGACCACCACATCCCCACAGTCTTTAACAGTTCCAGCACTGTTCAAAAGTGTAAGTATAGTCTTTGAGGAGCCCTGTCTTCTAGCTCTGCTACCTGAGATACAGTCTTTCCAGTTCCAGCACTGTTCAAAAGTGTAAGTATAGTCTTTGAGGAGCCCTGTCTTCTAGCTCTGCTACCTGAGATACAGTCTTTCTCCTGGGCCAACTCCACTCTGTCCATGCGGCTTTCCTTGGCAGGTATTCCCTGGTCTTAGCGTCTCCAACAGACCAAGGTCTCCATTACAACTTAGGCTTCATTCAATGCAGTGATTCCACAGGACCCGCCACACATTGCCTGTCCTTGATGGCCTTCTGGAACCTTGGCACAAGCCCCCATGACTCCCTCTTACACCTTTCGTGTCTGTAAAACCAGCACCATGTAGACAGTGCTGCCATTTGAAAATGTAGCCTGGCCCCATTGGACCACATTTGAATAAGCCATTCTGTGCCCTCCAGGATGACCTTGGGGAACCCTATGTGGTTTCTTTCCAGCAGGAATCCCCTTCAATAGCATTCTCAGTTTAGTTTCTCTGTTTCAAATGAATTTAGATTATCACAAAATGGAGCCTTTAATAGGTGGGGTCTTGCCTTTGGGACACCTCTCCTGTTGTCCCAGTGCAAATATTTCTCTTTAATGCTGCTGATCTAATACCATCTGCCTTGTCTTCAACTTTGACTTATTCCTTTTCCTCACAAACTGCACACTCTTCATATCTTTCTGCTCTGCTTATCTCTGATTCTTACTCTAGTCCTGGATAAAACCAGTAAGCAGTAACTTTTTATGTGTA